GAGACATACAAAGACTTAAAAACTGCTAATGACTGTGTTTAATGTGTAGTTTTTTTTCTTTTTCACCAGCTAGTGTCCCAGCTAGAGAACAGCCCAATGACAGGCAAGTTCACTGGATCTGTAAATGATACGTAGTTGTCTGACTCACTGAATGGCCCAAAGGCCCAAAGGCTGAAAATAGAACTACCGGCAATACAATAAGATCCTGGACCAGTGCGAAACAATAACATATTTAACCCTGCAAGCGGCAGCAGAAGGGACCCTTACCCTTTTTACGCTTGTAATTAGATGATAATGTAATAATGTCCAGACCGAAACAGTTCTATTTCTTGTTGCCACTGAGAGGCGCTCTTTTTAACTATGTCTTTGCAACTCGGCAAATTGTCGTTTGCCTGTCCTGTCGGTAATACATACTGTAATTCCGCAGTGTCGGTTTTCATGTGAAACAACCATTGTTTGCCGCCGCGCCACACCCAAACATTTCAAATGATTTTTTTTATCATTATTATACTGACGTCAGGTCAGGGCTGTGCTGGCCAAATTTGAAGCTGTTCCGTTAAGCTAGTGGTTCTTAATTATTTTCGGGTACAGAAATGCTTTTAACGCCCAACCCCCGACCCACAACCCCGGGAATTGAAATAATATTGAGAAACTGATGACATGTATTTTCTTATCTGTACAAGCCACCGTATGAGTTGCTGCCACCTAGTGACTGGAGGCTTGTTATCATTCAAGCATTACAGCAGTGTCCTATACAGGCCATGTACAGCTTAACTTACAGCAGTGTCCTATACAGGCCATATACAGCTTAACTAGATGCCAAGTGGGTCGGACCAGTACAATCATAACATAATTACCTATAAATAACAATAAGTCCATGTTTTCCCCTTTGTTTTCATGCAGTAGTATATGCAACTATATTAAACAATCTCCATATTTAATTAAATCAAATGTATTAAAACATATCATGACCATAAAGTGTTGGTCCATTTTTTTTTTTAACTTTTAACAAAATTATCAAGCGGGGCGGACTGAACTCCCCTAACCGGCCAGGTTTGGTCCACGGGCCGTATGTTTGTCTGCTGTAGATTCTTGTCACATTCGACAGCCAACTATGTTTCAAGGAGACATGTATTGTTTGTTGAGAATTAGGACATTTAATGACATTTGTATGGTGCAGTGTGATTTGGGTGGCGACTGCTGCCCCCGCAGCCCGGTAACGGATAAGCGGATGAAAATGGATGGATAATTGTATATTTTTGACATTCTCACCGCAATATCTGTGATAGTTACGCGATTCAAAGGCAGATTTTTACCTAGGAGATACTTTTTGCCGATATTGTCCAAACATTTAATTTCCGACTCTAATATCAACCAATGCGGATATATACAATTCCTTACCCTCTGGTTGTTCTGGTAACGCTGCAGCAAAAGCTAATGACAGGATTAAGTAAATATTGTGTAAGAGCTAACTCAGGCATGGGCAAACTAAGGCCTGAGGGCTGGACGCGGCCCGTTCAGTTTTTTTAATCCAGCCCGCCAAACTTTTCCAAATGATATAATTTATTTATATTATCGTTATACCTCTGCCCTTTCCCTGCAATATCCACGTTTCCCCAATAGATGGCGTAGCATTTTAGCCTTTATGCATGACTTTTACATATAATTTATCCTAGTTCACATGAAAGCTCCATCTATCTGCTCCTGACCTGGCCCCCCCTGTTCGACTTTACCCCGCGAGTCAAAAAGTTTGCCCGAGCCTGAGCTAGCTGCAATCCATTGGCTCCCTGTACATGGAAATCTTTGATTTGGAAGTTCTTCCCCAAGCACACAAAGCTTTGATCTAATAACTTTATAATACCGTATTAACAATAATTAATTATGTTAGGCCGAAATGCAGGCGTACTTGTGGCTACCAGAATGTTCCGTATAAGAGGAGAACACAAATTGCTGTGCCTCGAATCTGCACGTTTGTATGATGTTCCGTATAAGAGGAGAACACAAATAATTATAATTGGAACACAGTTTTAATAGTGTGTGAATACGTGTGAATTTCATTTAAACACTAACTTAGTTAAAATGATAACATTACTGTCACTACTAACGCAGGAACAAGTACACATTTTTATAAGTGTATACTTCTTTTATGGCTATTCTTAAGTATAATACATACCTTTTCTAAGCCACCAGAGGGCGCACTCACACAAGGCAGCCAACGTTTAACCATTCAAAAGTGTTGGCGTATACACTGTTGTTTAACCAACACTCCCAGGCACCAAAATAAATCAACTGTAGTTCTCTGTTGAGCATAAATTCTTAATTAAACTAATTAAAAAGTCTAGTCGGGTTTCTTTATAGTTGTTGTTGCTTAGAATCCTCTATAGTCATCAGTAATGATCGGTATTCATTTGCTAAATAAACTAATTTAGTTAGACGCTTAAAAATACTGAATACATTAGCAGTTTTAATAGAATGAAACACACGACACGATATGTGCGAGGCTTAATCATAACTGAATGTTTTATTTAAATGGTTTGATAATTTTACATTACAGAAATAAAATTTAAATAAGGAACTAAACAGTCTTAAAACCTCGGAAATATGCAATAAACGCAACTACGAACCTCTTGCTTTTGTACAACGATGTCAGGTGCTTTTCCGTCGTCCATCCGCAGAAGTCGATGTCAGGTGCTTTTCCGTCGTCCATGGAGATCCGCAGAAGTAAAAAAAAAAACAAAAAAAAACCCCAAATAGACTTGAATCAAAGACGACTGTCATATTCAAACACCTGAACGTTTTCAAAGTGTTGTACCTTTAAAAATATTACTCCAACGAATTTAATAACGTTCGTATAAAAAAATTCTCCTTGGCTATTAGCATATAGGCTGTTAGCATATACAACTCATTATGAAACAGCAGTGTTTCAAGCAAATATAATTCGACGCAAATTACCGTTAAATACGCGGAGAAAAAAAAACGTGGAAAGGAACGACACACATCCACGGTCACCATTTTTCCGAATGAGCAAGTCATAACACTACCCTCCCACATTTAATGCGCTTCCAGACATGAGTAAGTGATACAAGACTAGTCGATGTTCACATAAACAAAGGGGTGAACAATAGATCCCTGATGCTCTCAATTTTTATGATCACCCAGAAGACAGATAAACAGTAATCGAACTCTTGGCAAAAAAAAAAAATCGGGCGCATTCG